CTCCACAGGCTGAGGCAGGAAGATAGAGAGTTCAATGCCAGCCTGGGTTACATAGTGAGTTTCAGATCAACCTGGATTATATAATAAGACCTTGTCTCAAAAAAAAAAAAAAAAAAAAAAAAGAAAGATTAATATTTTAAGAGTAGACTGAGTTCTCACTGGAGAAAGTGAGTTTAATTTACTTAGTCATAGAATCAGAGTAGAACCTAAGAGAGTGATAGGTAGCAGTTAGACATAAACAGTGGCCACAAGAGGAAGAGAGGAAAAATCATTATAATTTAACTTCCCAACTCCACTAATCTCAATATTTAAGATCGGGTAGCCAGAGCCCAGGGACTATCACAGGATGCTTTGAAGTTAGCCACTACCCTAAAGCTTAATTCACCCTGAACATCAATTCTCTATCAAATGGAGCAGGAAGTAGTAGATTACTCAATGTCTTTCTTAACAAGACAATAACCCAAATCCAGGAAATCACCCAGGGGTCAAAATGATCCCTCCCAGTTTTAACAGCCAACTCAACACCCAGACCTATTACCTTTGACCACGTGTATTCCCCCAGCTCTCCACTATAAGACAAAGAGATAGGGACCACCATTTTGAGTATTTGCTCCCATTTCCTGTGTGGGGAACAGGAAATGTCTCTCTCTCTCTTTCTCTCCCCCCTCATCCTGTTGTTCTCTCTAGAGACAACCTGCTTTCAGTCTACTGAAAGTGTATCCTTTCCTAATAAGCTTTACTATTAAATCTTTGCATCTTGCTTGCATTCTTTAGCTGCCAGATGCAAAAACCAAGGTCATTTTCAAGGCCATTTTTCCAGTAACAAGACTATGTGAGTTAATATCACAACCAACTTCTCAAACAAGACAGAGTATTTCTTAAGTCCCACCCCCATCCTTCTATAAGTAATGCTACCTAAAAGTCCTAAAAAGTCAATTGAATATGATGCCATTTATCCACTTCTCCAAGTTTCTTAACAGACACTTTTCAATGGGTACTGTGGGAGTCAAAGAAACATTTTGACACATCAAAGAACAGGTTAGGACAGCTGGGGCCCGTCTACACTATGCAGCAATGGTTTCAAGAGCTACTTGTCAAATGAGGACAAAAAGGGAAAATATCTTTTCTTTTTTTTTTAATTGTTGTGCTGGGGGTACACTGTGGCATTTACAAAAGTTCTTACAATATATCAGATACATCATACTTTAATTCACCCTTCCATCATTCTCCTTTATCCTTCCCTCCCCCCTTTCCTGGAATAATTTCAACATGTCTAATTTGTTGTCATCTACATATATGTGTACACAGTATTTATGCCATATTTACCCTCCTACATCCTTTCCCCACTTCCCTAACTGGTACCAACCCTCCTTCCCCCACAGGACCTGTTCTGCCCTCCTGTCCTCCAATTTTATAAAAGAAAAAAGAAATGACATCTTTGTCTGTTTAAGATAGCTACACAGGGAATTTCCTTGTGATATTTCCATGTATATAACCTGAATTGGTTCATCTCCTCAATATTTCTTCTTTCTGCCCTAGTCCCCTTCTTATGGTGATTTCAAAAGGCTTAAAAATTCTATATTCATTCTTATATAGAGAATAAAAGGGAAAATATTTAAAGTCAACATAGTATGGGTAATCTGAGACTGTGGACAGATTGTAGAAAATGGGAAAGCAGTGACTTCATTAGGTTCACAAAAGGCTGCCAATGAGCCATTTACCACAGCAAATTAGTCCCTCCCCTCCCCTTTTTTCCCTCCCTTTGCTGTAAGTACTGCATGGGTTTAGTTGATGGGGAAAATGGATGCTGGCTTTACAACAATGGAAACTTTATCCTGTATTAGAGTAGATGACAAAGAAATGGAAAGGGTCAAAAGATAAATTCCTCTTACTGCAACATATTTTCACAGTTGAACCTCACCCTTGTGGTTAGCAGAACTCAAACAGCTGATAGTTGGAAATGTGGCTTTAGCAGAAAAAGGAGGGAAATTTTCATAGGCGTGTCAAAAGAAAATTTTGTAAAATATTTGCAGAAGGTTAATTGAAAAGAGATTGAACACTGCCTGCTCTTCTGCTGAGACTACCTTTACTCACAGTAGGAGGTATGAGAAAAAGGGAAGAACAGGCTCCTTATTCTCAATTTTCTCTGTAGCTACTCAGACAATCATTTCATTTAATGCTACTTATTTTTATTTATTTTTAACCTTTCTAGGGAAGAGGTGGGCAGACTGGTAAAGTAAGAGAATGCAACCCACCCCTTGTAAAATAAACAGGAGAGACTGTATGAGATAAAAATCATCTCCCTCTTGAACAAAGAATGATGATGGTGGTACAGATGGTGTTCAACTAGATAGTAATGGGGGCATTTCCTGACCTGGGTAGGCTTCCTCCCTCCCCCATAATATTCTTAGGTTGTCTGGAGAGAGAATAGAACCACCAATGCTTAATCTACGGTGGTGGTTCCAGCACTTCTTTCCTATAAGCTTTTGACCCAGTTATCTTAAAGAACGTAGCAGAAATGTGATTAAAAATGCCCTCAGCTTATATATATTTTGTCATTCTTCATGGATGCCTAATTCTCTTAGTGCCATTTGAGCAAATCACTTCAAAGACTGGATAGATGAGAAACTGAATTCAGAAAAACACCTTATGTATATTACTGATATGTTTCCATTCTAAAGACCATTTCATGTTTTCTGCCTGTTCATTTTTTCCCTGGTTCTAGTGATTAAATCTAGGGCTTTGCACATGCTAGGCAAGTGCTCTCCCATCTGAGCTATGCCACCATCCCTTTCTATATTTTTTTTCTTTTATTTTTGAGACAGAATTTTGTATGGCTGGCCTCTAACTCACTATCCTCCTGTCTCCTACTCCCTAGTAGCTGGAGTTACAGGTGTGTACCACCAAGTCCTGGCTTTAAGATTTTCTTCTGCAAGGTGATTATATTTGGCTTTATTTTAAAATAAAAATAAATGACACAGAAAAGTGTAAGTCAGGAGTCCTATGTGACATGAGTATACAAAAGGAAATTTTGGTATTTCTTCTGTTTCTGCTTAGGAAGAATGATTTGGTATAGAGTTCTGTATCCAAGCCTTCCTATTACCTATTTTTCACAGTATTTCACTTATTGTTTAAAGCAAACTTTTTTTTTCACAACCCAATTTCATTTTACAATCTTTATGTTTCTGTTCAGTTGTTTCTCTTATCAGAAATGTCCTTCCCAGCTCCTTATTCTCTAAAAATTCTATTACCCCTCAAATATCCAGTTCAACCCCCATCAACTAAAGATTTCTGGTCCTATTCCAGGCTGCTCTGACCTCAGCTCTGAATTGCTATATTAATTATACATTTATAGCTCACAATTATCTGTTTAGCATCATATCATTCTCTAATTGTTTGATGAATATTTCTTATTTTCCCAACCCTATGAGATTCTTTTATATTCTTCATAGTGCCTATTCCAGTAAGCACTCAATTACATTTACTTGATGTTACCCTAAAATGGTTGTAACTAATCATAAGGTCTCCCATTGTGATTTTTCCCTAATAAATCTGTTATTATTATTAATCAATATTTATGCATTTCTATAAGAATCCCGAGCATGAAAATGTACAACACTAAAGAATGTCTATTTTTTTTTTTAATCAATGGATTTCATCTTTGAATTGAACTTAGAAGTTAGTGTACCCATTGTTCAGGGAAAGAAGTCTATGCAGTTTTCTGTAAGTATGGAATAGATAATACCAATGTGTCTATATTTGATTAAAGCTACAAATGAAAGTTAGGTAAGCAGAATGTAATTACTGAAGCTGGAGGATAGCCAGGCAACTTGAGAGAATACTCCCAATTCTTGCCAAAGATTCCACTGATAATAACTGGTCAGCATCTCCACTTTCATGTATCATCTTAAAGTTGTTCTTTGACCCTTGTGCCTCCAAGCAAAATAAGGCCAATGAAGCAGTAAGATTCACAGGGGGAATAGTTACATTCAGGGGTTCCTAAAGAACAATGTTTATTTTGTTGTTCCTTATTTATTTATTTATTTTACAAATTTATGAGGTCTACAGGAAATACCCAAAGCAAGTAACACAATGTTTCTGGTGGGGGTTTATTAGAACAGTCTGAAACGCATTCTACTTTGCTGACTTGAAAGAATTAGTTCTAACCAGGGATTCATTCTTTGTAACACTAACACTACAGAAAAATTCAGCTCTTTTTTGGGAAATGTGAAGAATGATATAGTGTGTACATGTGTATATCTCATGCACAGTGAGAAATCAAAGTTATTTATTTCCTCATTTGCCACAAGATATTTTTCTGAGTGCCCAAGGATTTGTTATTTTGTACACAGGTATGGCCCCCAAACATTGTAGTCAGATCTTATATACTAATCATGTAAGATAATGGCAAATCCTGATTTTTACTTTTTTGTATGTTTTATCTCCAAGCTCCAATTAAAATATATAGCTACATCACAAGCTATAATGAATTGATAAAGATTCATATCTAAAAGTTATATAATTAGGCTGTTATATAACTTGAAAAAGAATATATATATATATATATATATATATATATGTTTTCCAGATGAGATACTAGAAAAGGTCACTCTAGTTTTCCAACAAGTTTCAGTGTAAGAAAGGTTTATGACTCTCCTTGTGAGCTTCAGTTTTTAATCACATATAACTAATTCTGAGTTTGCCATACAGGTCAATAGTAAGAAGGAGAAAAACTCATATGAGTAGCCACCATAATGTTCAAGTTCACTTTAGACTTACGGTCAGTCAAACTGATGACTAGATTCTCAGTGATTTTTCTGCCTCAAAAACCCTTTACTTCCTGACACGAAATCAATGAGATATAGCATGGCCAAATTCACTGCATGCATTTCTTACTTGTTAAGCTCTAAGATGCTCACATGCTCAGGTGTCCTTAATATTAAATGGTTTGGTATTGATAGTTAAGACATCTCAAAACATACAGTCTTAGATTTCCTTACTTCGGACCAGTCCAAAGCCACCCACTGAGGTGGACATGACTGGTTGTTGCAGGACTCTTTTTCAATAGGCCGGTGAGTTAAACAACCACTGTAGTCCAGCGTCTCCTCCTCAGAAGGTCCAATCTTCCTGATGCAGAGCACTGCCCTTGTGCGCATTCCACCATCACAAGTCTTGCTGCACTCCAACCAATCCCCAATGAACCACCTGTAGCAAGAAGTAGAAGAAAGACAGAAAAAACATTTTTTCAGTGAATCCAGAGATTTTTCAGCCAAGTGAAGGCACTTCCACGAATAAACTGTATCCTTTTCTTAGAAAAACAGTTCAATATTGGTTGCTATCACAATGCAAATGGAAGAGCTGCTAAGGTAAACAGTAGTCACTGTTAGTTGTCTTCTAAAGTGCAGTGCATGAGCTCTGGAGCAGACAACACAGGTTCAAATAAATAATGCACTATATGTTCCACGGGGGTGGCATGGAGCATTCTGATTTGTGGCATTTGCCAGTTTTAAGTACCACACTGTGGTCAATCTCAAGCTACCAATCTGGCATTATGAAGATGGAAATGAGAAGACATGCTAACAGTAGGGTCTCACTAACAAGTACTAACTGGCTTTGGCATAGCACTGAGTGCTATCTGGCATATAACAAACAAGAAACAGTAACTATCATTTATTATTATTACATTGAGATTGGTTCTCTTATAATTGAGGACTTTATGCTAAAATCATCCAAAGGAAGTTGCAGATTTGTCTTCCAATATCCAGAAATGAACTTTTATGAAGATAGTAGGACTTTATAGTGACAGAGAAGGCCCAGGTATACATATGGAGGACATGAGAGTCTGAAAACACTTTCAGGAAAAGTAGAACCTTAAGCCTGCTCTATGTTTCATAAAGACCCCTTTCCTCCATCCTCCCCAGAACACACACACACACACACACACTTCTATACAGGTAATGTGAAAAGAAACTCAAATGCCTTAAAATGAACATGTCCCACATTTGCAGTTATACCACTTTTTTTCCTTAAATTCTTGAATGAACTTTATATATGTATAATTTCAAGGGTTTTTGGACTACTTCTGCAGGACTCATTCTCCTGAATGCATTGGTCTGGTAGAGAGAGGCCAATGAGAATTCTGCTTTAGAAATTTTGTATCTCAACTGTAACAATTTTTTGTCTCTTCTAAGACACAAGTCTAGTGCTGCTGGTGACCATATCTCCTCTCAAATAGAATTAGCTAATTTGAATGACTGCAGAGGTCCTGGAAAATGCTGGTAGTGTTTGAGTTCATGATTCTAGCAATTCCTCAAGCTAAGCCCACCCTTACCTTCCCTGAGCTTTGTTATATAAGCCTTATATATAGAAGTTAGCTCACTGGGCACCTGTGGCTCATGCCTGTAATTGGGAGCCTACTTGGGAGGCTGAGATAGGAGGATCTCAGTTTGAGACCAGCCTGGACAAATAGTTCACAAAACCCCATTTTCAAAATAACTAGAGCAAAATGGAGGTGTGGCTCAAATAGTAGAGTGCCTGCTTTGCAAGCATGAAGCCCTGAATTCAAACCCTGATCCCCTTAGCCCCCCAAAAAAGTTGCCACCAGAGTCTTCACTGATACATTTCTATGCTTAATTTAATAAGTATTTGCTGAATCCTGCTATGTTCAAGACATTGTGCTTTATTTTATAGAAGAAACAAGATCCAGTGTTAGGAAAAGAGTTATCTGAAAACATGAAAAAAGTGATAGAACCAGCACTGGCTCTCCCATCAATTGCTGTTTCAACTGACTTTCCTTTTTTAACATTGCTGACTATAAAATTTAGGTCACAAGGTATTTTCAATTCATGGTTGTAAGTCATACAGCTACATCAAAGAACAAGCTCATGGTCTTGGGTAGGAGACTTCCCAGAGAGAAGAACATGAAGTTTAAGAACAAATTCCTAACTATTCTCTTGAGCCATGATGCATTATGCCAATTTTGTATATGGAAGACAGTATCTTAGAGGGTCAGAGTTCTGGTCTCCTAAATTGAGCCTGCACTTGGCTAACTATGCCACAAAAGTCTTTACTCATTATTATTTGCACTACCATTACTTACAGAGAAAAATCAGCATTTAGAAATATCACAGTTAACCATTTTTTTCAAACTTAAAATATATGTGTCAAAAACTTCACTTAGAGAATGATAATTTAATCCTGAATTTTAAAAATCTGTATTCCCATACTTTTTTCTGTTATTTTCTAAAAGAGATTTAAAGTGCTTTTCATGTTCTTTCCTTTCTGTTTTTCATTGAGGAACGTGATTTCAAGTTGTTAGTACCATTTTTGGTAAGAAGAAAAATGTGTACTGAGAATAATAACTTGCATGCCAGCCATAGTGAAACTCTGATTCAATTTGCAACAGTGATTTCATCACTAAGATTAGGGGATAAAACAGAAATGTGTACAACTCAGCCACAAAAAGCTCAGTCATACCACCTCCAGCCATGATCTCATTAGGTCTCATAATGTAAGAGGGATGGAGGCCTTCAAATTAAACACAGGTGCTCAGAGTAACAGCAATGATTCAGGAGGTGTTGCTATTCTTCAGAGCACAGGGTCAGGGCCACCTCTGCCTTTTTATTCTTTGTCCTTTCTTTTATTGCTAACCCCCTCTCCTTAGAAATTTAGCCTACATACATCACTCTACACTTCAACTTGGAATACATGAAAGTAAAAGTATTAGTCACCCTCCCAATTTCCTTTCTGACTTTAATTTCAGGCTTAACAATCAGTCCTTGTTGCATCTTTACCTTCCCATGTCTCTAAAGGATTAAATCACACCCTAGTTGTTTAAATAATTTTGTAATTTTACCACTGCATCTGTTGTCTCAGTTTCTTTATTTTCTGGCTAGTTTAAGATATACTGTTTCCTTCATTTTCTGCACATTTGGCCCTCTAATGACATTCTCTCTAGTTTTCTGTCTTTTCCTGTTCTTTTGGATTCATGGTGAAAATATGAATGCAGAAATTATCTCTGGAAATATCAACTGTTGACTCTGTATAGTCCTAGGGCTGGTTCTTTCTGAGCTCTTCCCAACACCCAGTGATCAAATTGTCTTTGTCCTCACAAGTGCCTTCATCTCCATTAAATGCTAGCAAATAGTGAAGTAAGCGAGGCTTGTGTACCCTGCACTCTCAGTCTCTTTATCATTATTAACCATAATAATATTTAGAGGATGGGATAAAAGAGACACTACATAAAATTTTGTCCTAACCTTGACTAACCATAATATTTTTGAAGAAAGAACTCATTAAAAAGCCAGAATATTATTTTTGCTTTATAATTTAAAGGAAAATGGCATGGTGTATGAAAATAAACTGTTATTAAATATTTGGATTAAGAGAAAGGAAGGGAGGAAGGGAAGGAGGGAGAGGGAAAGGGAGAGAGAGAGAGAGAGAGGGAGAGAGGGAGAGAGAATTTCCTCATATTGGTTCTAAAGTCAAGGGTCTAATCTTTAATCAATGAGTGATTAAACTGTATAACCTTTTGCATACTTACAAAGATACTGGAACTTTCTTATTTATTTTTTGTGGTACTGGGGATTGAAATAAAAAAGTCTCCTGCTTGCTAGGCAAGTGCTCTACCAAATAAGCTATGCAGTTTTAAAATGATTTTTAGGGCTAGGGATGTTGCTAAGTAGTACAGTGATTGCTTAGCATACTTGAGGCCCTGACTTTAATCCCGAACACTGCAAAAAAAAATGTGGTGAAATAATTTTTGAAAGGGTTTTCAAAACAAAAAGTTAGTACAAAAGAAATTTGTTCATCCTCAATTAATTGGAAAATGAAACTAATATTAAGAGGAACATTCTATACTGGATGTTTTCCTAAATTAAAAAAAAAATCAATGTAATAAACATCTCTTAAGTTGTGGCAACTGGGAATGTGTCAATGAAGCAAGCAAAAGTAGATGTATTAAAGTGCCACCAGACACTTTGTAACTTACCATGTTAGTGATGTATGGTTTAATGAGAAAAACACCACTGGCAATTAACATACCCTCATCTGTGAAATGATGAGAGTTGGCTGGGATGACATCTATGATTTTTCTAGGTCTTAAATTTAGGAGTTATTATATAGGAGTCTGATGAATCTTTTTCTAAACTTAAAATAACAAATTATAGTTGTCCATGGGTGAGGTTCAATGACTCAAAATAATTGTTAGACATTATACCATAAAAGATACCATTAAATAAAACCTGGCGACAGGACAAAATTAATTTCTTCCACTCTGAGCTTTCTTTAGCACTTTGGCTTATTTTACTTAAAATATTTTGTCTTGTACTGTGTTATTTTTATGTCCATTTGTACAGTTAGATGGTTTTTAGGAACTCAAAGTATAGTGCTTCACACATTGTAGTCCTTTAATCAATGATTTTAATTTTTTTTCAATGTACAGTTTATTGTTTTTACTTCTCTGGTTTTCACAAATTTAAGAACCACATTATCATACAGGAAGAATATTTATATTCAAGGATTATTCACATGAGATCATGTGTAGAAAGTCTTGGTATTAAAACACAACATGATAAAAACTCTGAAGTCTTGATGTCTCTCTTTGGATTCCAACTTAGCATGGCATCCTTTCATGATGGAGGGACACTAGCTTCCTACCAGTTATAGCCTTGTTTTGTTTTGTTTTTGAGATGGGGGGGTCTCACTTTGGAGCCCAGGCCTTCCCTCAAACTCATGATCTTCCTGCCTCAACCTTATGCAAGCCGAAATTACACGTGTACCACCACACCTGGCTCTATCAGTCATACTCTTTAATATCAACTTCTCCCTTTCCTTTTACCAATTATTGAAGCTTACGTCATGGATTCCACTGTTTTTATTCATAATCAGTTCACTACCTTGATTACTATACTCTTTCTCATAAAAAAAAAGTTGCACATTAACTTTCCCCAGCAAAGCCTCTGTTGGTCCTTCAAAGTCTTCTAAATAAACACTATTATTGCTTCTTTACCAGTGCCTCTTTTGTCTGGTCTTCCTAGACTCCTGTCATTTTCATTATACAACGTAATTACAAATCTTACTGTCCTCTGTTTTTCCATGTAGTACTTACAAACGCTTTCAATATAACTAAAGACACTTGAAAATAGTTCAGTATTTGAAAAGATACTTTTTTTTTTTTTGGTGATACTGGGCATTGCACTTGGCTAGGCAGGCACTTTACCACTTGAGTCATGTCCCTAGCCCCAAAAGGATATTTTCTTAATTAAAGAAAAAAAATACCATTTAGGTATTTTTAAATTTAGGGTATTGGGAAAATAGTAATTTTTGAAAATATAGATTTCTTCCTTAAATTACAGCAGGTACTTAAATTGCTTTTGCTAAAATGGACTGACTCTTTACTTGGGCCCACAAATTAACTAAAAGTAAGAGAAAACTCTGCCTCCATTTTGTGTATGTTATCCTTTGCTCTGAGCTATTCTCTCTTGCTGCTACCTTGGAATCCAGAAAAGATGGACTTATTAATAATATGTTTACAGGAGGGATGGAGGAAACTGCCCCAAAGCAAAGAAATAGCAAAACCTCCACAGGATAGACCACCTGACAGGCCACAATGACTTGTTTATCCTGACAAGGCTTCTCCTTTCAAGTGATGACAGCAATAACAACTTTTCCAGACGACCAACCCCCCCAAAAAACAAAACAAACAAACAAACAAAATACTGAGATAATGATTCACTGGAACATACCTGTGACCAGGACTGTTCAATAATTATGCATTCCTCTCTTCCCCTACACCCAATTTTTTGTCTATTTAAACCTAAAGCTCATGTCTGTACCCTGAAGATGACCCACTGAAAATGGGCAGAAGTATTTACTTTGCTCTTCCCACCACCACACAGGTTGTGTAATAAATTTCCTTTCTCTGCCCTTCACCATGTCTCTAGGCATAGGGGAAAATGGCCTGACTTGACATGTGGAACCCGGGGAGTTTGGACCTGGGCCCTTAAACACCAGTTTCAAAATCAGGCTAATACAGTTCAGACAGATTAAAATTTACATTAAAGTAACAAAACAAAACAAAAAAAAGTTGAAAGTATAATCTTAGAGTGGGTAAGACCTTTCTAAACATTATACCAGTGAAAGAAGTTTTATAGCTTTTCTATGTAGTTTTTAATTTTATAAGTAAAAATGGATAAAAAGCCATAAATTATATGGAAGACATATAACAAACTAGGAAAGATATTTGGAACGTATGTAAAATAATAGATATCCTTACCAGACAAAGAGTTCATAAAACTAAGTAACAAAATGATAAACACGTCCATAGAAAAATAGGATAGGCCATGAAGAAGAAAGCATTAAAAAAGTAGTATAAAGGGCCACTGAACATAATTTTCAAATGTTCAGCCTCATCAGCAATCAAAGAAATGCAAGATAGAATAGCAATTAGATATCAGGGCTTTTTCCCCATAAAATAACCAACATTCTTTGAAAATAATATTACCCAGTGTTCATTTCAGGGAACTGGCATTCTTATACACTGTTACTGGGATTATACATTCATAGCTTTCTGGACAGCAACTTGACAATGTGTCTCAAAGACTAAAATTGTTTCCACTTGAACCAGAGATTCTAATCCTACTTATTTTTCATAAAGGCATAATTATGGGGATCAAGGTTTTAGTGGCAAAAATGGTTAGTGCTGTGGCATCACAGGAGATTCAAAGTTAGAATATACATGATATTGTACACCAGTGGAACATCAATTTAAATAAAAATGATATACCTACTAAATACGGTCAATGCTACTTAATGTTCAAAAGTATGTTGAGGTCTGACTAAAAAGCAGTATAACATTTTATTTATATACAGCCTATATACACATAGAAAAAAAAGACTAGAAATACATTTCTCAAAATATTAGCAGTGGTATTATAGATGTTCTTTTTTTTTTTAAATCTTTTTGTTTATCTGCCTATCATATTGTCATCTGAAAAAAAAAGCCTATCTTCTTTCTTTCATGTTCATTTGAAGTCTTGTTGAACAATAGTAATCTATAGTTTTTATCGCTGGAATATTTCTGTATACTGGGAATCTTACTGTATATGACAACCATTCAGAAGAATTAAGATTTCTTCTTTTATAGTCTGAATTCAAAAGAATAAAGATATTAAAAAGGAACTAAGAAAAATTGGACTAATAATGAATAATAGTTAAAATATGTACCTTTAGGTCTTTCCAAAAAAGAAAACTGTCAGATTTCTGCCTTTCACATATTCCCTTTATCTTTCTCTTTTGAATTACATATCCCCACCTTCAAATTTAAATAAATAATCTCATTTCAGAACTACATAATTTCATTTCAGAACTACAAAAAGGAGATAGGAAACATTTTTATTCATGTATTTTAACATGTCAATTATTATTAAGCTGTTTTAAATCAAGCCTCCAATGTATTACTCAAACCCACATTATATGGATGGGGTGGAAGGACACTGAACATTAAAAAAAGTAAACCTGAACAAATAAAAAAGCCTAGAACAAAATGAAGCAGGTGTAACCAGTCTCATTCAGATGCCTTAAATGATTGATTAAATGCCAAAGGTGCTATTTAAAATACTGAGTATCAGGTAGTTAAGTGGATGGTCTGCAACTCAAGATTACATGACAATATGCAGAAGATATAGGAAACACTGGAGGAGACAAAATCAGTTCATGAATTTTGACCATCACTTTGTAAGGCATAGTTTTTCAGTTTTATCTTGAGATAAATTTATAAAGACAATTGGCAGAAAAGGGGACAATGAAAAGCACTTGGCTTTAACCTAATATAAGGGACCTGGGTTTTTTTAATCCACTGTAAATCCCAGGTTTTTGTGACTCCACTGTGGACATTTTTAGAAAAGGGCATGACTTCATTATAAAGCTTTCCTCTGCAGTTCTAAAGGACTTAGGATATACAAATTCATTTGGTTACTCTCTTTTTTCCTTATCAATTTCATGTTGGGATAATTAGCCAAGGGGTTAATGGCTAATCTGATTTCTCGAACAAGAATAAAATGCTATTCACACATGTTTTATCTTGTAGCTGTTTATCAGGCACAATCCCTATAAAGGTCTGGATCAACACAATCAATTTAGCATCCTGGTCTTTTTTTCACATAATTATTGCCTTTTGCCCAATCAAAAAACCTTTTTATTCTTACAGAATACAAAGCCATCGTTAAGATGAATGGTTCTGTCCTTGTGTTTCCCTTTTCAGTGAGTTGTCATTGCTACATTAACCAACAGAACACTCGGAAGACAAGATGCCTCGCAACAATGGAACTTAAAACAAGGCCAGCAAGTAAAAGCACTGGTATTCAATTCCAGGGTAACTCTAAATCATTTTAAAAATCTTTCAGACTTTAGGATAAATACCTGGAAAAGACAGGAGTGCAAATAAAGCATTCTCTTTTATTAAATTTAATACATCTTTATTTTATGAATCATTAAGAAAGGAGGAAAATGGTATTATTCTTGTAAGACTCCATCAGTTGCAAAATGAATTCTAATTTCATAGATGATAAATGTGGGAAGAGGTGTGTCTTATAATTTAAAAAATATGAAAGAAGTGGAGTCTTGACAATACAAGTTCAGAGGGCAGAGGAACCACAGAATCATAGAATTTCAGAGGTAGACAAGTCTGAGAAGATCAAATGCAGATAAAGATCAACAGGTTGGAGAAATTCACATGGGCTATCATGAATTGTAATCTTGTTTGTCTTAGAGAAGAGAGAGCAACCACCAAAATTTACTCAAATGTGTTCCATCTGTTCATTGTGATGCCCACCCCCGGTAAATGTCCTTGATTTGGGGGCTCAGGTGCCCTATTTCACTTGGGTTTTCTCCTACTTGGTATGTGTGCCTTAGAATTGATGAAATATAATAGTTTCTGGCATCGTGTCCAGACCAAACTCACTGAAGTTCCTGCTCTAAAGAGTAAATAACTGAAACCTATGGATACATAGGAATCCTTGCTCAGTGAAAAGGACATCAAAATTCCACCCTCTACGAGGTTTTCTCTCTTTTTCTGTCTAATTTATTTGTATCACAGGAGTATGTTTCTAAATATAAGGCATTACATTTTGCTCTTTGTAACAGAAGAAAATAATTTCACTTCTCTTACTTACTCAGGTGGGCAGGGCTCAGTGTTACAGGCTCTTTGATTTTCAGGTGGCTTACTATCAGGGTCACAGTAGTTGTTCTGGACAATGGAGTTGTCATCCAGCCTTTTGCAGATGGCTTCCTGTCTTTGGACACCTTGAGAAAAGGAGGACATCATTAATTGGAGAGTAATTTACTTTCCAAAAACTTAGGTATGTATAGCTTTCCTCTGTGGGCAATCAACCTCACTGGATCGCTGCTGTCTTATCTGTTCCAGAAACATTTGACTGCTTTTCTAAAAAGGAGAGAAGTCCTGGTCATTATACTGAAAGCTTAGGCAAAATTATTGTTCTTATATTTAGAAACGTTAATTGTTTTTGAGTGCAGAAAAGAAACTATTGGTAACTTTAAACAATTAGTATTTCCACTTATATGCTCTTCTTCTTCGTGCTTTCCTTAAAAAAATGAACAAAATTGACCTTCCCAAAATATCATGAAATATATTAATATACATTTCAATGCAAAACAATGGCTGTATATTTATTAAAAAAAAACAATAGGGACCGATTTGCTTTTTGACATTTAGTAGGACAAGCCCATCAATTTAGTCTTTGTTAGGAATACAGCACATTCACACATTTCATTTTGTTCCTTTTACATACGTGAGTTTAAAGATTGCAGTGGACCTCTATTGGAGAGTAAGCAACTTGTCTGTGTGCTCTAACAAAATTGGACATCTGTTGATTATACCATTATCAAAGAGATACATACAAAGTTCATTCAAATATTAGATTACAAATGCCTATCTTGTTCTTAAAAAATTAGTCCTTGAGACCTGTTTAGCACGACTAAAAATATTCTCATAAAGTTTTTAAGATTCTAAATACATATTTCTTATTTTTAGGCAAAAATATCCACCACAACTTGCTCACATTTCACAAAATACAAAGACACACAACATACATTCTTATTTGTAAACATCCCTGGTGAATAGACTTTGTGTACACTCATTTTCTCTTTAGTGTCAAGAAATCATAAGAAACAGATAGGTATATCAATATATCAGAGGGGGAAAAAATTTAACTACAAGACAATGCTAAATATTTCACACCTTAAAGAAGATACCATTAACAGGTTACTACTGGAAATGGAAATAAAAGCACACACTAATCTGGTCCTCCAATCACCAACCCTAGCCTTATAAACAGGTAAGCTAAAGTACTCAGAAAGAGTTGTAAAAGTAGCATTAACAGTCCAGGAAACCACAGCTTTGCACCTAGCTAAACCCACACAATCCTTCAGTTGTTTTTCTTTCTTTTTTTTCCCAGTTATTTTTAAGTAATAGTATCCTTAAAAAACAAAGTTTGATCACAAATTCAGGAAATCCCTGTGAAACAGGAGCATTCAGTGAAGGAAACTTTCACCCAAAGGGCAAAGCACCAAAACTTTTCCCAAGGTCCCTTCACAGTCTTAGAAATCCCGTGGGTGCTGCAGTGGTCATGTTATGTTCACCTTCAACTAAGCCCTTTGAATTTAAAGGAAAACTATTAAGTCCATGAAGCTCATGAGCCTTAGATCCTATAGACTCCATGACAGTGGAATCACAGAGGGAGTCACTGTTTGCAGCGTCTCAAGGCTCCTCCTGATCACCTTCAGCAACAAGTTTATCTAAATTTAGGGGTCTAAAATATAGCCAAACAATTCACTTGCAAAGTATCTTAAAGTATGTATTGTATTCACTCTCTCCCAACCCCTAGAATAGGCCAAACAACTCAGTTTATACAATGACAACAGTTTGGAATTTTTAAACTATTAAACTTTAGATTTTTGAGGGAAGAATGATTCACATCAGGCATAGTTGTGATCTGTTCACAGATGTTCCATGATATTCATCAGACTGCCTCCCTATTGTGTCATTCAAGTGGGCAGATAACTAAGTCCATGTGGTCCACCTAGTCAGATACCTTTACCATTAGTCACAGGCTTCAACTACCAACTGCAACAGTGGCTTGGGTTATTTATTCAGTCTGGTTCCACAATTTGCTTCTTTCAGGAAAAGCAAGAGATTGTTTTTATGGGTTAGAATGGTTATTTCTTAAATCACTCAAATGTGATTATATTTGAAGCAAGAACATTGGCATTCAATACATTATCTTGGTTGTTTCTAAGAAAAGGATAAACATTTTTAACATTACAAAATGGAACTGATGTTGCTTTGTTTCAGTGTCAGAAACATTAGGTCAATTTTAACAGGTAAAATTCTACTTAAAGTTAACCCTAGAAATGTTGCTTGACTATAATCACATTTGTTTAAAAGTATTCTTTATGTAAAAGCAAGGCCTCTTTGATTTGAATCATGGATGACATTAGTGTAGGAAGTTAGCAGGGATATTTCATTTTAAAATAAGTTCTAATCATATACATATCTTAAATTTTTTTCTATATAACATTTATTGTTAAAAAATTGGAAAGTACACAAACCAGTAAGAAACAAAATGAAAATTACTAATAGTCCTATATTTTTGTTCTAGACCTTTATTTTTTAGGGTTATTTTGTTATTTGGTGAGATTTAGTGATTAATTTAAAAATTACATACATACACAAACTGAAACTGTCAGCTCAATGTGGTTGGCACATAATTCATTCATGCAACATATAATAATTACTAAATACAAGGCATGTGGTTACTATAAGATATTGGACTATGTGTTAAGTATTACAAATTGACTTCCAGACTTCTTAAAAACTAGGAATTAAGGGTATTTCCTGATTTGTTTCAGCCCCATAATTTCAGAACTCTCTTATTATGAAGTAAAAATTGAAGTCCTTGAGGAGACAGCTGAAGCTGCTCTATAGTTTATGAAGATGTGTTTTTCCTTATATTCATCTTTTGTTAATTTTCTTCAAAAACATTGTATTAGACTGTGTTATTTCACATTCAAGAAGTGCTTATACCAGTAATCTACTCAAAGTCTTCCTACAACATTATATCATTTTCCTCCAACAGCATACAAATCTCCTTCCAACATTTACCCCAGCATCTGGCAGGTTTACAATTTTTTTTTCTGCTTTGCTTTTAAGTCAGTAGCAAAAGGATAACTCTATAAACAAATGTACCTAAATGGATGGATTTTTAAATACATACTTTTGAATCAAGGCAAGTGCAGCATTTAACTTTAGGAAACAGAAAATACAGATCAACTAGAAATAATCTAAGCAAACGAGAAATGGAGTTTAGAAGTTTTTCTGTGATCAGTCTCTTGTACACAGCTTCTTTTAAAGTAGTCTATAAAACATTGCTAAGTTGATTTTAAACCCTGTTGGGAATAATTACATCCAGTTACACAAAACCAATATGCTTTCATATCTAAAGATTTGTGGTTTATAACCAAAAAATATAACATGTCCACCTGACCAGTCAGTGTTCATCTAATCAGAAACAAAATTCTAGTGGCTCAGTGTCCACATTCCCTGGAGATAGGCAGATGTTTTGCAGAATTTAATTAGCCAAATTTAAAACTATACTATTTCATTCTTAAACACCTAAAGTTACTGGCATGCAAATTGTGTATGTTTTTTTTCCCCCTAACGCAATCTTTCCATTATTAAAAAAGTAAAGGTTTCATATTACGAAAGCTAAGTTACAAAGTTAAATTTTTTTGCCAATATATATTTTAAACCCTCTAAAAAAGGCTGTACCCAATTGAGACACTTTTTTTGCTTATCATTTGATAAGTCAAGTAAGATGGGATGATGGTCCTTAACAAAAAAATGTAACCCTGGGACTAGAGATGTAGCTCAGTGGTAGAGTGCTTGCTTAACATGTGCAAGACAATGGGTTCAATCCCCAGCACTGGGGGAAAGCAACCCTCATTTTGGCCATATGTTTAAATTCGTCAGATCCTATATTTAATTTTCTGCCAATAGCTAAAAGTTAAAATCTACTTTCCCACCAAAAGTTCTCTTACACAATAGAAGGACACAATTGTAACTCAGCTCTAGCTACACATCAAGAAATGGCTTTTAATGGTATTTTGAAATAGAATACAATGCAGGAAAAAGAGCAAGAAACACACCAAATAGCAAATGAGTACTGGATGGAATCTTTCATTTATTGTTCTTATTCTAGGGGATGATGATGGATGGTTCTGGTAAGGAAACTGTACAGACCCGGGCCAATGCTGGATGAAGACTTCAGAGATCATCATAGCTCCTCTTATTTCTTGCCTCCTTCCCAGTTTCTTCCCTGCTCCTCCTGTAAATTGTTTTGTGTAATCCTACCCTCTCTTCTTTCAGAGAATTAAGTAATTTTATAAACCCATTTGTAACACAATAGTCAACTGAATATACTGCTTTTCTCAGGGCAATTCACCATTTTAAAAGTAGAAAAAAATTAATGCACAGGAATTACTGCATGAAAATTTAACTTGTAAGAGTGATAAGCATTAAATAAAAAAGTATGGCGGTGGGGTTAGTTACGAGCAGGAGAAAGGTCTTCTAGGGTTTTTTGTTTTTTTTTAATTGCAGCACTGGGGCTTGAACTCAGGGCCTACGCCTTGAGCCACTCCACCAGTCCTTTTTGTGTTAGGTATTTTCAAGATAGGGTGTCACGAACTATTTGTCTGGGCTGACTTTGAGCCGCGATCCTTCTGATCTCTGTTGCCTGAGTAGCTAAGATTACAGGCATAAATCACCGGTGACCGGTGGTCTTCTAGATTTTAATTGTACTCATGAAGCCCAACATTTCCATCCTAGACTTTTCAATTAGTGTATAAATGAACAGTATAAGCACATGAATGAGTAAATAAGAAAAAGAGAGGCATAAATGTATTTTGGATTAATGGGTTAACCAATCTCTAAATAATTGAATTTAGTGGCATAGCATGTTGTTTCTACCCAAGAAACAAGTTTTCTGAGGGGCGAGAAGTCAGCTTATACTAAAAATGCTGGTGTTGCCTAAGGGAATAATTTGCTTAACCACAGCATCCAAAGTAGCTAGCAACCAAGACAACACTATATAACCACAGTATACAGAGCATATGGCCAGCAATATTAATTTAATCTAAATCTTCAGTGCATATAGCATCCAAAGAGTGACAAATGCCAGGAAAAAAAAAATGTCTCTCTGCTCTGCCTTTCACTGCTGGAATCTGGC